AATACCCTTCGCAATAGATTCCAGAAATTCTCATCATTTCCGTCAGCGCGATGCGCTGCCGAGGCTGGGGAAAGAGCGAGACGGTTCGAGGACGGTCCGTCTACGCCCAGGGAGTCTTGGATGCTGTTTTCTCTTTATCGTTGACTTGAGCCGGCTCTCTAATGCTTGGTCGTGAAAATTCGGCGGCGTGCCCCTTTTTTGAGCACTCGGTAGTGACACTGCCCCCCACTTTAAGAATATTATCATCAATAGTCACAAACCACAAAAACGAGTGCGAACAGTAACCACACACTTAAAGACTAACCATAGTCCCTTCGCTCATGGTGCGTTACATTCACAATAGAACACTTAATTGCCCATCGCAGTTCAATCTCACAACACATGAATATAACCAAAGGTACATAAATAAAACACTCATCAAAAATTTCAGACAATAGAAATGTACAGAGGTCTGTCTTACAACAATTGTACAATCCTATACATCGCATCACAGCAACAAACCACTTTGACTCGCTCGACATACAATTGTGACGCCGGATACCAACAACATTAACACAACATATCGCACTCAGCACTGCCAAACACATTCCGATTTGACCTCAGCACCTATCCTGTGTACTTAAAGGGGCGCTTGCCCCCTTTCTTGCGGTGCTCACTCGACTCTTCTTGTTTTTCCTCGTATTTTTCGGCGAGCCCTTTCCAACGACGGTATCTGAGGTGGCGTTCTCAGCCTTCGTTTTCACCTTCCGACCCTGTTAACAAGTCATAACTTTTATTTTTATTTTTATTTTATTAGAATACCCTCAGGGCCCGTAGGGCATTACAGAGGGGGTGAGTACAACATTTATAACACACAAAAAAGACCAAATAAAGAAACAAGTGTCAGATGCGCAAATCGGGAAGGCAACATAAGTCAACCAAATGTATAAGAATTCAAGCACATACAAGTACATACAACTTTCAACCGATCTTGTCTGGTTATTCACCAGCTTGCTAATATTATGACATTGGGCCTGGCTGGACGACTCCGTCACCTTTACACTGTCGGTCGGTTGAGGTCGTGCCGACTTAAGTCCAGCTGCCCAGAACGTTCTCTCGTTCAACACGATCATCCCCTGATTCACTGTCTCTTGCACCGCGGCTTCACCTTGGGCTTGAGTGAGATCCGTCACGGGAGACTCGTCCACTGTATTTCGCAGTCGCAGGATTGGCGAGGGCTCTATCTCGGGTCTTCTTCCCAAACGTTCGGGATCGCTCGGCCCTCGCGCCCCATCGATGTTTCCGATGATGAGGTCAAAAAGAGGGGTCGTCATACATAGCGCAGTAACCTTCCCACAGAAGTAAGGGGTTTCAACCTCAATCTCTGCTTTGGGAAGCATCCCAATCGTACTGTCAATTGGGAAACCGGTTTCGTTTTGCCTGTTACCTCACCTTTCCGCACCAATTTCTCCGCACGATAACAGTGAAGCTACCAGTATCTCTAACACCGTAATATTCTTGCCCGCAACTTTCCAGGCAGCGTTGGCCCTTCGTAACACCGGTTGGCCTTTTTGTCATTACAGCACCCACAATAGAAAGTTTCTCCCCATTTTTTCAACTCTACAATTCCATCGGTGACGTTGTCATCAACGGTTTTGGTGCACTTGCACACAGGATACCTGGCGAGTTTGACTCACTCCGTTACGACATGCGTCTGCCTTGTGCCCAGTCTGACCACATTTGAAACATTTTACAGCTGTAGGGCTTGTAAAGTTAGTTAGACAGCCTGTTCGCGCGATGACCCACTCGGTTACACAGAAAACATCGCGGAACACTCTCCGGTGCACGCTTCTTTTCTTCGGGTGCTGAATTTTTTGAATCTTCGGGACACTCCTTCTTGACATTGGCCAAATTTGTGCCATCATGCGCTTCCAAGAATTGGTCGGCCAATTCAAGCATGTGTTCAAGCGATTCAGCCTTCCTCTCTTTCAAGTACAGCGACAGGCTTGGTTGGCAACTAGTGAGAAATTGCTCTTTAATAAGGAGCTCTCTAAGCTCATCGTACTCCTGCGCTGTGCCTAAAAGTTCGATTCATCTGTCGAAATAATGGCTAAGTCGGGCGGCGTACTGCGTAGCCATCTCACCATCAGCTGGCTTTTCTGTCCGAAATCTGTCCCGGAAACCCTTCCTCAGTAAACCTAAATCGCTTCAGTAAAGCAGCTTTCACTTTTGTATAGTTGGCTGCATCGGTCGGCGTCAGCCTACCGTACCCACTGAGCGCTTCGCCACTCAAGCAGGTACTCAAAGCAGTGCCCGTTGATGTTCCGGCCAGTTCTGGCTCCTTGCAATCGTCTCAATTCTGTGAAAATATGCGTCAAGATCGTCCTTCCTTTCATCAAACGCTACGAGCAGCTTGCTTGGGTTCAAGCGGAAGCCACGATCTTCCCGTTCGTTGCTTTGAACTCTATCTTGGACGGAAGTTTCACTTCGCTATTTCAATCGGAGCCGCTTGAGTCCATCTCGTGCAGTCGCTACCGTTCCCTTTCCTCTCTTTTTTGAGCTGTCACTCCTTTGCCTCTCTTTCTTCTTTCGCCCTTTCAGTTGCCAGCTTTTCCTACTCCAGCTCCAACTTCAATGCTGCTCTTTCTTCTTTCAGCTGTCGCTCCTTTGCCTCTCTTTCTTTTTTCGCCCTTTCAGCGGCCAGCCTTTTTCTCTCCAACTCAGCTGCCTTTTTCCGCTTTGGCTCTTTCAACCGCCAACCATTCTTTTTTCAGCTCAGCTGCCTTTTCTTTTTTTGGCCCTCTCCTTTTCTTCTTTTTCCATCTGGGTGACTCACTTCCGTAGTTCAGCACAAGAAAGACCCATCTTCTCACCAAGAGCTACTAACTTCTCCAGATACATAGTGCCGGTGCCTCTCAAATGAAAATCTAGCCGAGTGCACAAGATATCTACCAACTCAGTCTATCGAAACACTCTCTGCCCACTCGTTAACGAGAACACTAAGCAACACACAAAAATTGTTCCGATAGCAATATCAACGACTCAAGGCTATTTCTCACTACTTTGGACCACACTGTGCACCAAAAGGTCCTGTCGCGGACGCCAGAATAATTGACACAGGTCCCGTTAATTGGGGAGGCGATTCCGGGCTAATTCCAAAAACCGAAATATCGGCCCGCCGACCTGCACCACAAAAGCGTGGCTAATATAGAAGTGCTCCTATTTGGCGCGCCAGCGGACACCGGCTGTGGCCCAAAGAACAAGTCAGAGCCGAGAGTTGACAAACAAAACAAAACTAAATTCTCAATGATGGCAGATCAAAACGATACACAAATATGCCACTCGACAGTAGTTGAATACGATACGGTACCAATCAAACAACATATTACACAGTACAGTCAGCCACGCTCCAAACAACGGACCCAAACAACAATACGCACTACAATGCAATTGCATGCATCGAACATCCAAGACACTTAAAGACTAAAGAGTTGGAAAACTTATTAAGTCCAAAGTCCTTGGAACGAAAGTCTGAATGATACTCTTCCGAGAATCACTCGCTCAAAGTCTAGTGCTGTTGTCGTTCCGCTGCCCCCGAAGTTTCTCTTCCAGGAAACCTCGCGTCTTCAATTGGTTGCTCTCCAAGCACCTAACTTCTTCGCCGGTAACACGTCGGCTTCCCACGCGCAGCTGTTGCCACGCGTCTTCACTCGTTGGCGGTAGACACACACTCTTGCCTGTAGCACGAGTCTTCACCCCTCAGGTCGAAATCCTCTTTTCCTTCTTTGTCACTGACGAACAAAGGCTTCGCCGACGACATGGCGGAAACACCCTACGCACACTGGCGTGAAATTCCTTCTTCCTGCTTTGTCACTGAGGACAAAACTTTCGCCGCCTACACGGCGGAACACCCTACGCACTCTGGCGCATCCTTTCTTCTCCTGGATCTCCCATCTCTGCTGCTCGGTTAATACCCTTCGCGCTAGATTCCAGAAAATTCTCATCATTTCCGTTCGGGGCGATGCGCTGCCTAGGCTGGGAAAGAGCGAGACGGTTCGAGGACGGTCCGCGACACATGAGAAAACTCTGCATCACCACGCCCCTTTTCCCTCGAGAACCTTCCAGGGCTTGCTCAGCCGCCAATGTGAGGCCGTCGATCGGCCGAACGACGCGTCCGAGGGGGAGAGACGTGCACCCAGGGAGTCTTTGGATGCTTGTTTTCTCTTTATCGTTGACCTTGAGGCGCCTCTCTAACGCTTGGTCACGAGAATTCGGACAGCGCGCCCTTTTTTGAGCACTCGTTTGTGACAACCTCCCCTTTCACCCTTCTAAATTCTTGTACCGTCTCATTCACAACAACAGTGTCACTGCAGTGGAAGTGTCTCAAATTAACTACATTCTATTCATCAAAGAACAGTGCCAGAAAATATAAGAGCTGCTGTCATGTCCACGCAGTCCAATTTCGCTACCCAAGACACGACACAACACTACATGGAAGGGTAGGATGGCAACAACTCTGTGCAGCTTGGATCCAAAGACCCAGGACGCCCCTTGCTAACAGGAATCCGGATTAAGGATTCCACGCACGATCTTCTCGTGTAGAACACAAAATAACCTTTTATTCTCTTTGTGTCTCTTTTTTATTTATTTATTTAACAGTTACGTTAGGATAGATTACATAAAATTATGTCAAACAGCAGGTGGATAAAGTAGCCTCCACTTCTAGCCAAACTAGCACGACAGAAAACACTGAAGATAGTCATTGTTGCACAATGTGGTGGCGCCATTTCAACAACTTCACAGTTTTGACGCGAAATAAGGTATTGTGTCATATTGGCACAAATGTTGTACGCATGCTAACAAAAAGCGACCAAGCTCACATAGTGTGATGTCGAGTCCCTTCTCTGCTAAGGGAGTAAGAATAGCTGTAATATACTTTGTCGTAAATTAAAAAATGAAATAAAATAAAAGGTCCAAGGACCATGCACAAGTATGATCTTGTACAACAGAGGGCATCTTGTTTAGACGTTCTTTCTTGCAGTCCCAATATGGCAGTGGTCCACCTGCCAGAAGAAAAAGAAGGCATGGTATTATTGTTTGATACCTACAGTGGCGTTATCACATGAGCTCATGCAGACCGAGGAGCTTCTTTAGGACAGTGTCTGCCAAACTTTGCTCTGAAAAAAGAAAATGCCCCGGTCCGGAGAATGGACACAACCGTTCCCGACGGGCACGCTAGTATCTCCAAACTTTGTCTGAAATTTGGCTTTTAGCTGGCCATGCAGCATCTCTCGAGTTCCCACCAAGGAGCATCCGTCCTGCTGTAAGGCTGGCATTAACCAGACTTTATTCAAACATAAGCTAACCTTGTCACATTGTCGAGAGCGCACGCCAAATTTTGATGAACTTTGTACTGGCACAGGAAGGAAGAAACGCGCCTGACGATTAAAGCAGGGCATATCGATAACAGTGGGAACGCATGCACGAGCCAGCTATAACTTGCATGAAGCTGAAATCAGATGCCTCATAGCGGTTATCTTTCACTTAGAGCCCTCAACTCATGCCAGATGGGTTCACATATTGTATGCGTGAAAAAGATTTCGTGCCTTCTTTCTTTTCCGCCATTTTACACATCTCCAGTTGTTAGTGCAGTGTCCATCATTTCATGTCTTGAATTCCAGTCAGTAAACTACGAGCCATGGATCAGGTTCAGTTTCGCGTGATGCATCACATAGCGCCGCACAACGGCAATTTCTTGTCCCCATTGTTACCCACTCTCTCTGAATAAAGAGCATGACCCTCCCATGTTCTCAGCTTCGCTCGACAATCCTTACAGTGCTCTGGCGCTAGCATGCTCATTGTCTCCGCCGGACGATAAGGTGAATCTTGAGGCAATAAAAGAGGAAGCGTATGTGGGGTCCAAAATGTTTGCATGCCCCGACATTTAGAACACGTATTGAATTATTTCTTGAGTGCCAAGTACAACTTTGGTTTCTATTCACATTGGTTAGCCATCACACAGTCAGTTTCGCAATAAAGACTTGGATGTGACCACTCATAGCAGTGGCCCCACTTTGAGCCAGATTACAAAGGCCTGGTTCCTGGTCAACGTACTAAAGAACACTGCGCAGTACAGCTTACATAGACATTTTTCTGGTGAAATAGCAAACAAACTTTCAGCCCATCCTAATCTTCGCATGAGTGAAGACATGCCTGAAACAAACTGCATCGCTAGCATGCACTGCATTACTATAAGCATTGATAGGTATGTGGAGTTTAAAGTCCCAAAACCACCATATGATTATGAGAGATGCTGTAATAGAGGGCTCCGAAAATTTCAACCACCTGGGGTTCTTTAACGTGCATACCAAATCTGAGCACACCGGCCTACAACGATTCCGCCTCCATCGGAAATGCAGCCGCTGCAGCCGGGATTCAATCCTGTGACCTGCGGGTCAGCAGCCGAGTACCTTGGCCACTAGAACACCGCTGCGGGGCGCATTACAATAAGCACACAGACTTGGGAAAAACACTCTTCTGATCACCACTTTATCATCAAAAACTTCCCCGACTACAGACTTAGTAATGATTTCCGATGGAGGCGGAAATGTTGTAGGCCCGTGTGCTCAGATTTGGGTGCACGTTAAAGAACCCCAGGTGGTCTAAATTTCGGGAGCCTTCCACTACGGCGTCTCTCATAATCATATAGTGGTTTTGGGACGTTAAACCCCACATATCAATCAATCAAGACTTAGTAATGAATGCACATAAAGTGCATACATTTATTTGATGTGTGAGGTTTAACGTACCAAAACTACCATAATATGAGAGATGCGACAATGAAAGGTTCTCGAAATTTTGACCACGTGGGGTCCCTGCACCCAACTCTGAGCACACGGCCTACAATATTTTCGCCTCCATCGAAATTGCAGCCGCCGCAGCAGGGATTTGATTCTGCGACCTGCAGGTCAGCGGCCGAGTACCTTAGCCACTAATGTGCATTCATTACCAGTTTAATTATACTTAAACAGACCGGTGGTAAGGTGAAGATAGGGAGTGGTTATATGGGAAATGGTGCCGGAATTCCTTCGTCCAGAAATGATCTATGTTCACCTGGGTGGCAAAGCGGAGAGAGTTGGCTGTTTCACTGATGTTCTCCTCGCGTGGAGAGATGTTGAGAAGCATCAGTGTCTTGCTGTTCCCACCCAGGCTGTCCGTCAGCAAGTGCGTGAGCTTTGAGTTCCGGTACAGCACGTGGTCATCCTGAGGGGCACGTGCTAGGCACAACACCTTGAGTTGAAACTCTTGCCATGGGGAACCACTTCATCAGGGCCCCGCTCCTCACTTTTGTTTTTTAAGAGAACAAAAAGGGTACAGGAGGAGCAATAACTCTTCCACGCACATTGGTGTACACGTATTACAGCAAGAGCTCGTCAATTTGAAAATTCCCCCTAATGAATGTGCTCGCTGGTCCCGGCCAGCAATGTGGCATTGTATGATGGCATCAAACTCTCGTTAATTCAGTCCCATGGGATTGTAATCCAGTTAAATTCAGACAATCCCCGAGATGCAAAGCGCTGCACATGTGTGACACGGAGGGTTATAGATGGCGTTCAAGAACAGCCGAGACTGCCGTTTGATGGTGCAACAGTATAATCGTGTCGTTGATACGTATTAAAGTAAAGATTTCAATGTTTCAAGTTTCTTAGCCAATTTCGCATTGAGGACACAGTAACTTGAGCCGCATTCACTTTATGTACAGAAAGGCCGACTTTTGGCCTTGTTAGTACAGCCCAGTATATCTTAAAGTGATTTAGCACAAATTTATGCTGCAGTAAACAAGACAAAGGGACACACACACAGGTACCTGTGTGGGTCTGTTCGTCTTGTCTTCTATGACATGAATCTCGGCTAAATCACTTCAGGTTTGTGTACGTAGCCTCAAATGATGAAAACTATTTCACTGCTTTATGAAAGATAACTATTCATCAAAAATGATACTATAGCAAGGTTGCAATTTGCTTTAGTTTTTCTTGATACTTTTAATAATATGGCATTTGGCTTTTCTGGCACTTTCCCAGGTTCCTTCCAGTCCAACACTTTCACTGTAGCTCGAACGTCTTTAATGTTGATACAGAAATCTCCACAATACACAGACTCACACAACTAAAAAAAAGTGTCGACTGACCCGGTTTGAGAGTGCAAAGATGACATTGCCGAGGTTGGCAAGCGAGCAATTGATATTCTGTGCCTCGCGCAGGCGGGCCCTTCTGATTGAGATTCAGAGAGGCGTTCGCTGCCGGCCAGATCCACCAAGTTCCGGCGCCCTGCATAGACGGCAAGGGTGTTCGTGTCAAGCACACTTCTCACTCGAAGGTGCACACATATTCCACAGTGTCGCTTGTTTTCGATCTGTCGCAAGGATTTGTGTGAGAAGTGTGCCTCAGTTAAAATAAATGGGAACCTCGCTATGCATCTAAGAATGCTTTCAAGAAAGCCCAAGTTGCCGCAGACATTTTTTCCACTTCCTCGATGTGCCAAAATTGCACACTGCTTGCCTGCTTCCCTTGTGCAAAATGACGTTTGCTTGGGGCTCCCTAAATCGACCTGCTGTGGTAGAGAAGGGTCTGAAAAAAAAAGAACCAGCTCTTCGAGGGAAACCCTAGTGGGATGAAAAGCAGCAACGGTGCGCATGGCGTTGACGCAGTTGAAATGAGCATCGAAGTGGGTGCTGAGAGAACACTTTGAAGCGAAACTCGGTGTAGGGTTTACTTGAGTAAATGTTTGCTTGAAATGCAAAGACACGGGAGGCAGGTTGGGTTTCAATTAGGTTCATCCACGGAGGAAGAATGGAAAGGGGCGGGAAACTCTGGTCATTTGCGCGACGATTGAGTCACCTCCTGGAGCGGCTGCAAACGACGTTTGCAGCCGCTCCTCGCGGCTCAGTGAATTAGTGCTCTCCTCGCTGCTCAGTGGATTAGTGCATAGCTCAGATATGCTCGCTAAATGAGACCAGAAATCATTACGACGAGTTTTGACTGGGCTAGCCAGATCGCCTCAAGAGAGAGACCGTACCGTAATACTTTCGCAAAGCTGTCCACAAGCGCTAAACAGGTTGCTTTCACTCTCTCACCTTCGCATTCTCCGCTGTTCAGTGCCACGAAAGGGCTGGCAAAGCCATCTTTGCAGTCTTTGACAGTCACAGCAAGGTACGTCTTCCAAAAATAAGGAGTGAGTCTAAGAAGCTGTGTAAGCGGTTGAAGCTAGATAAATTGGTCAGAATTATTGAGAAGGAAACGCGCGATTGTTTAGCAGTGTTTTTCACGGCAAAGACGCATAAAGTAGATGTGCCCTTCAGAGTTATAATCTCTGAACGCGACATTGGCAAAAACAAGTAGCATTGTTTTTGCAAGCAAGCTTGGTATTTTACCTATCTGTGACCCTTTCCTTGTCAGGAATTCGGAAAAGGTTATTAAATTTATGAACATCAACCATGACGTACGCCTCGAGGCCTTTTCTATTGACGTAAAAGACTTGTTTTACTCTATTCCTCACGAAGATTTGTTACGTTCTGTGGAAAGGTCATTGATGAATATGGTGCAATTAGATTTCAGAACGAGGTTGGTCTTTCATGTGGGCATTTTCTTAGAACTTCGGACGTGCTGCCTTAAGTCTACTTTCAATTTATGGGAGGATTGTGCACAGCTGCAGAAAAGAGGCATCTGCATTGGTTTTTTGCCTAGCTCCCCGACTGAGTGACTTGTTTTTAGGTGAGCTTTGTGTGAAGCTGTCGGAAAGGTTGAACGGTACTAAGGTAGCTAGAACTTTAAGACATGTAGATGACTTCTTATTTTTTGTGAATTGTCCTACCGAGCAGCTAGTTGCTGAGTTCAATGGCCTTTTACCAGTAATCAAGGATTGTCTTGAGCCCTTATAGGTGACGCATGAGCTTCCGCAGAATGGCACCATGAGGTTTCTGGACCTTCGCCTGTCGTTCAACTGCAATCATACCTGTTGGCATTATGAACCTGGTGCAAGTAAACCCCTTTTCCCCTACCCCTCAGCACATTCCAAATTAGTTAAGAGTGCGATTACGAAGCTTTGCTGCAAGAATGCCCTAACGAAGTCGTGTCACCATATGGTCCAATTCAGTTTCGATCAGCAAAGGAAGAGGTTGCTGGTTCCCGGGTTCCCCAAGCTTTGCTTGTCTTTGTAGTTGAATGTATCTTGAGGGACAGCAAAAACCAAAACCGAAATGCGGCGAGATTATTTGAGCAAGTGAATCATACAAGAGTGTTACCTTACGTACACGCGGTTTCACATAATCGCGAAAAGATTGCCCAGCGAGCCAAAGTGCGCGTGATCTTTTCAGCGCCAAACTAGTTGGAAAGGTTGTGCAAGATTATGACGAGAAATGCCAACGAAAATTGGGCGTGCAAAACTAATCACAAAATTAAGTTTCTTGAGTGCGCTGAGTGTGTCGTGTATTGCCTGCTGCTATCTTGTGGTCGCTGCTACGTCGGACAAACAGGCCATTGCTTGAATGACCAGCTGCGTGAGCATCATTACAATGTAAAAAATGGGACAGGTGGGTTCCTAGCAATACATTGTAAAAAGTGTGGTTGTACGCCCCTGTTCAACACGTGCGCGGTTTTGTCAAGAAATAGGAATCAGCTTACACGCGAGATAATAGAGGCAGGAGAGATTGAAAAGTTGGGTGACAGGTGTGTTAGTCTGCCTTCTATTGCGCTGACGAAGAAGGAATTTGATTTCCTTGGTGTCCATTATGAAGCGTAGTAATGTTGCGGTTACTTCTGGTGCAGGAGTTGTGCTTATCGTTGTGCCCTATAGGTAGAGTTGTTATTACACAAAATAAACTGTTGAAAGTAGCGCTAAGTGTGTGTGCGGGTGTCCTTTCTTTGTGTATTCGTATTCGGTGTGCTCGTACCCTTCTTAAACATGGAATACCAACATGCCCACATTTTCAGCTTGGTCTTTTCTACAAAGCTACGTCACATCAATGTTAGAGTATGGGTGCACTGTGTGGGATCCTCCCACAAATGCCGATTGTGGCAAGCTTGAGCGAGTTCAGAACACGGCTGCAAGATACGTTATCGGTAGCTATGAGAGCAACCTTAGCATTACTGCTACAAAGGAAACATTAAAATGGGAGTTTCTAGAAAAAAGAAGGCAAATTTTTGCGCTTGAAGCTTTTTCACAATATATATCATGGCCAAGATTGGAATAGACCGTAATCAGTATATTCTTCAGCCCTATTATGTATCAAGACGAACAGATCATGAGCTCAAGGTTAGAGAGTGTAGCTGCAGGACTAATCTTTTTAAAAGCACTTTTTTCCTCAAAACTATTTCTGAATGGAATCGTCTGCCTGCTGACAAGTTCAGCAAAATAGATAACGAAGCTTTTGCGGCCGCTCTCTGACATCTCATTCCGGCTTCAGCTGCAGTCGAATTTTATGCAGTGTTTAGTTCTTATCACATCGTTTTTGTATTTTTTTATGTTTGTACAGTATAAATTTCATTTGTGTTGTCTCTCTTCGTCTTGAATAGCTGATCTTTATGTAATTCATGTGTATTGACAACAATGCATGCCGCTATTTCTCCTCAGTTTTCCACTATCACTGTTCTTGAAATGTATGATTTATGAATATCTGTGTACCCCCCCTTCCCCCCTGTAATGCTTAAATGGCGCTGTGGGTACGAGTGTAAAAAAAAAACTACACCGAATTCCAGGACGTGAGATTTCTGATATACGCTGAGGATGTGACTTTATGGTCCTGTACATAAAGACGTCTCAAGACAAGCCCAACAGCCTTTAAGAAAGCCCTTGATGTTCTTAAAGATACACTCTGAAACGCAGAGTTAGACATCGCAAAAATCATGCCATGTTCAGGTAGCTAACAAAGCAGGACGCAGAAAATTCAAGCAGTGCCCTTTTACATTTACACTAGTGCAGTGACCATTCCTGAGGCTTCGGAGGTTCACATACTGGGTCTTTATATTCACCAGTCCGGCAGTGGAGTGCACTGGCTTCGAAAAGTCAGGCAGAGTTCCATAAAACACTTTATCTGATTCGCTGCATCGCATTCGAAAGCAGCTGGAGCTCGTACACATGTAGCTCGGCAGCTCATCCGCACAGTTCTGCCGCCAAGAACTTTTATACCAGACGCAATTCAACGGTAACTTTGGCCCAGTTGGCACAGTTGGAGACTATTAGTCGTGATGCTATGCGCACAATAACAGCATTGCCTCGCATCACACCCATACGAACTTTACAGGAGTACGCGCAGCTTAACACAATTGCAGAGCTGGTTACACCATGAGAAAAAGCTCGTGAAATCAAAAGGCAACTTTACCGGTTGTAGCTGCGTTGCATGCTCACTTTCAACGTAGCTCTCGCATTGACAACCAGTTCGAGTCTATGCATCCCTGGGGAATTCACCACAATCACATCTAATAAAACAAGAAAGCTACGGCGCTCTGATACATCATCTACAATTGATTGATTGATTGATATGTGGGGTTTAACGTCCCAAACCACTATATGATTATGAGAGACGCCGTAGTGGAGGGCTCCGGAAATTTAGGACCACCTGGGGTTCTTTAACGTGCACCCAAATCTGAGCACACGGGCCCTACAACAATCTACAATTGGCGAACACTCCATCATAGACGCCCCATGCGCTAATACCTGCAAAACTATACCCATATTTACTCACATATTCCTCGAACTTCTGTTGCCAGAAAACCAATGAAAGTTAGGGGGTGCAAGAATTACGCGGGGAAAACTTTCTAAGAAAACGTACAGAACGGAAAAAATGAAGTGGCCACAAATCGGGATTCTCACACCAACAACTAACAGCAAGCTTTAAAGAAGTACTAAGTAAAACTTACCTCAACAATAAAAGCCGAGCTTCAACACAAGACAAGATTACATTGAGACACAAAAAGTGGAAGCAAATAGTGGAGAATTAGAATACCATATGCAAACTTGCGGACGTTGCGGGCATAACGGTAGCGTTCGTCGCTTTACAGGAGCCCTCAAAAGGTAAGCGTGGGACGTCAGTATTGGGCTGATGGATATTTAACAGAATTTGCGCAGTTTCACTCGTAAAAAAATGAAGTTTACCATCAATTACAAGGGCTACCGGCGGCCCTGTTGCCGTTCTTTAGTGCATTATCTATCACTTGCACTTGAAAGCAGCCGTACAGCTTCAGTATCGCCTCGTAACTTGACAAGGATACCCGACGCAACATACAAAACACGCCGCAACGCGCACTGGCCACTTCGGCTTCGCTTGAGTTGG